CAAATGAGGTGTCAACCAAAAGAGGAGGGCCTAGACGTCCATTTTGATGCATTTAACACGGACACAGGTTGAAAAGAAACACAGAACGGCCTTTCAAAATAAAACTTAACAAAAATGGGACGCGAGCGTTCCGCTGAATGTTAACAGAAAAACAGAAACCGTGTTTTTTTTAGTAACTCACCGGGCAGGCGGACCAGAGTCTGAGACGTCATGCTGTCGATGTGAGTTTTCACCGGCGGAGCTCGACCAATCTGATGAAGAGCCTGCAAACATCTTCCTCTGTATAACYCAGCATCCACAGCAGGTTTTATCCCTCATCGGCACACTTTAGGAACAGAACTTACCTGAACAAAGAGTTTGGTGCAYTTGATGTCGATGATGAGAGGAACGGAGTAGTCGACGGCCATACGTCTGGTGCGATAACCTTTGGTGACGAAGGAGGACAGCCTTCGCCCTCCGCTGTTCCTCATGGAGAGGTTGATGACCAGGTCGAAGTGGTTCTCCTCCAGGTAGTTCATGATGCTGCGCTGCCTCTCTTTGGTGGGACAATCACTCTCTTCCTCCTCAAACGGCCAATCTACYGCCGTCACCTGGAGACGAGGAGATACAGGATCCAGAACCAATGTTTTAAAAGCAACAACCCCASCAGATAATCAGGACCAAAAACTGAATTAAAGTTTTTTTTTTGATGAAACAAGATGCGACTAATTTTCTGAGTATTACCTTGACTCCATGTTCTGTGTAGAAGTCAGCAGTCCCCATGCTGGCATACAGGTCGTACCCCAGAGACTCCAGAGCTTGAACCGTGGGCAGCAGCTCACTTTTGTTCTACAAAGTCAAATCCAACAAATCAAGCCAGATATTAAAAAAACTGACACATTTAATTGGTTTTGTACAAGTGTTTTCTTTTTAAGTTTTTGCATCAAAAAGTACTCCTTCAAATTTGTACCGAACCTTTTTGGGTGACTTATTGATAAACTGCATGTTATATTTATGTAATGCAAAACTATTTTTTTTTCTTTTCTCAAAATTTAGTATGTTTCTTTGCTTACTTTATAAAATAGATGAATACTGGTTTTTCTCCACTTTACTTTTATTTTCCTACTTTATTCATAGGGATTAGTGTTGTAGTACTTGAGACTGATCTTGGTCTTGTCTGGGACTCAACAGCATTTGTACTCTGTCTTGTTTCGGAGTTTTACTTCAAAACCACAACTGTGSAAATATGGCTAAACAGACAGATTATTGTCCAATTTCTTTGTCAACATCCTTTCTTTCATTGGATTTAAAACACAGTGATTCAAATTCAAACCTGACTAATTGCTATTTATGTATTTTTGTTACTGGCTGTCACCATGGAGGATCTGTAGAACAGCTGGTGACCATGTGATCGGCTGGTGAAGCTAACGGCTAACGCTAAACGAGCAAGACTCTGGATTTCCCATCACTGTACATGTTGACAACAGAGCAGAAAAAAAAAAGGACTGACGATGTAGAAATCATTAAAACTATTAATAACAATATTAACCAATATTAACCCAATTATTATTAATATTTTACAGTTTATATAATCTATCTAATGTTTTAAATAATGTCAGAAAAGCTGTTTGTGTTATGGATTTATTAACAGAAGATAAACAGGAAAACGTCTCATTTTACAACAAGTCAGCAGATTTGATCTTATTTTTAGGTTTCTGTTAGAGGAACATGACCTGTTGAAAACTAGCTAATACAAAGACAAGTTT